AGTTTTGAGGCGTTTTGTACGCGGATCACGTGAGATTTCACCCGTGTCATCCCTATATAGAGCGTCTACCGACGCTCTGATAACTTCATTTTAAAAAGTTCGCCAATCATCCTCCTGTAAATAGTATACACCTCTGTCTATTTTACCCAGGTGGAAATTAATGATCTTTTTTCTGCAGGCCAATGCATTTCGTAATGCCCACAAGATCTATGTAAATGGATCAGACGTCCCGGATGCTGTGGCCTCGTTTGCGGACCTCTATGAGCACTACAACCTCCCCTCTTACCTCCGGAGAAACGTTGCCAGTGCTGGCTACCTTAAACCCACTCCCATCCAGATGCAGGCCATTCCTCTCATGTTGCATGTGAGTCAGTATCATAAGAACACTCGTATATGCCATGTGTAGTTGGAATAGAGTACAAGATTGCACAGCATTTTTTGCTCTTCCCCATTCCTCCCACACACACACACCACACACACATGCACACATCCAGGGTCGCGAGGTACTGGCGTGTGCCCCAACTGGTTCAGGGAAGACAGCTGCCTTCATAATACCCATCCTTGTCCACCTCAAGGTATATACAGTAGTCAAGACATTAGTACAATAACATTCTATATAAGTGAATGTGTACGAAAGTTTACGAACCAACTGCTCAGTTTTCTGTACTATATGAAGACGTGTTCTGCTCTCGTTGGTACATAAGGGGTTAATTCTTGTCCCCAGGAGCCGGCAAAGGTGGGATTCCGAGCGGTGATAGTCTCCCCTACAAGAGAACTGGCTCAGCAGACATACCGAGAGTGCTCCCGGCTCTGCGTGGGGTCGGGGTTCAAAGTCCACGTCCTCACAAAGGCTAAAGCGTCGGCAAACTCTTTTGGACCGTCTTCATCTCAGAGATTTGGTAAACAGATCCGATCTTCCCCTTGACAGATGTACCCAGTATTGTGTGTGTACAGATATTCTGGTGACCACACCCAGTAGACTGGTCCACATGTTATCCCAGGAACCACCTGCCATCCAACTCAACAGGTTATCTATTGCAGTCAACTAGCCATTGGGGAGTTTTGTCAATGAACCAAATTGTAGAGGAAGTCTTACCTGTGCATGTTTATGTGCAAGGATCCAATTATGGGGCAAGCAGTCCACTAATGTTGACACATTGTCAAATTTTTTTTATCCGTAATGCTGCTATTACTGACCGTTCATTGTCATTGTATTGTATATGTGTAGTGTGGAGTGGCTGGTTTTGGACGAGGCAGACAAACTGTTTGAAGACGGACCAAGTGATTCTGGTTTCAGGAATCAGGTACTACTGTACTGTATTTCCACTTATCAAAACATGTTACTATACTCTACAACGATGAAGTGTGTAATTTTGCACTGCACTTACTGTCACGGACCGGTAATTCAGGATGGTTGGTTGGCCTGTACTTCGATCCCCCTTACTTGTACTTGATTAAAGTACGAAAAGTTTGGGGCACCCTATTTGTAATTGTTTGGACTGCAATCTTGATCTCTAGTACTGGAATTGAGAATGATTTTTTGGTCTGTCTTTCTACCCACTTGCTTGATTAAAGTACGAAAAATCTAGGCCACCTTCCTATTTTCCACCATCACTCCATATGATTGTTTGCACTGCACACTCAAGCAATAGTCAAGGTATTCAGGGTGGTTGGTTGGTCTGTCGTTCTCCCAACTTGCCTGCTAAAAGTACGAGAAGTTTAGGCCTTCTTTAGCATGAGGACCCTGTAGTTATGCTGTAGTTATGTGAGAACGCAAACATGGGCCAACAATGTGAATAATTCTCTCCACTTGTATTGCTGCAGGTTGCTCAGATATATTCGGCATGCGACAACCCAAAGGTGAAGCATGCTCTATTTAGTGCCACCCTGGGTCAGGGGTGGAGGAGTTCTGCCACGCCTACTTCACCACTCCAGTCAGGATCATCGTCGGCCTCAAGTGAGCCTCTTTCACTTCACTATAGCAGGCTTTGTTTAGTTTAGTATGTAGCATAGCACAGACTTCTATTTGGCAGTTGAAATGCAATGCTCTGTTGCAGGAACACAGCGACGGATGCAGTGAAACAAGAACTACTGTTTGTGGGGCAAGAGAGTGGGAAACTCCTGGCAATTAGGAATCTCGTGAAACAAGTCAGTAAAATGTAGTCGCCATCTCTCTTTGGTCTTATTCTCTCTCTCCTTGGCATATATAAACAGTAGATGGCACATGTAAGAGAGTATTGTGCATACAAAAGGAAGTAATTAAGGGAGTATTACCTAATGAAGGGAAGGTACTATCCCCTTAGTTGTATTTCCACCCTCTCTCTTTCTCCCTCCCTTTCCCCTTTTCTTCTAAATTCTCTCTCTCTTGTCTCCCCCAACCTCCAGGGATTCACTCCTCCGCTGCTGGTGTTCATTCAGAGCAAGGAGAGGGCTAAAGAGCTGTTCCACGAGCTCATCTACGACGGTCTAAACGTGGAGGTCATTCACGCCGACAGGACTCAGGCTCAGAGAGACAACATCATCAAGAGCTTCAGAGCCGGCAGAGTTAGTCTTACAGCAGCAGTTTTTATAATGGGGGTGGAGAAAAGGAACTTGCACAGTCTTTTGGGAAACATTTGCGAAAGTCTAAAGTTTGGCAATCCACAGTCGCAGTGGTCCATTGGTTTATACTATTAGTCAGTCTACAGTCCTTTCACAATGAGTGCAGAGTATACACGACAATAGTACATCTACTGACAGTGATACTGTCGTTCTTCAGATATGGATTCTGATCTGTACCGATCTGATGGGACGAGGGATGGACTTCAAGGGAGTCAACATGGTCATCAACTATGACTTCCCTCCTTCAGCCATCAGCTACATACACAGGATTGGTGAGACAGTCTATATATTTATACAGCTAGGGTGTTGCCAAGATAGCCATGAAGTCCATGGCTTGCATTAGGTATGTACATGTATTGGTGAGATAGAAGCTAGTAGGACAGTCATTACAGTCTAGGGTTTTGTTCACCAGGTCGTACTGGGCGTGCTGGAAGACAGGGTCAGGCCATCACTTTCTTTACCGAAGATGACGCCATCAACCTTCGCAGGTAACTGAGGCTTGGTTCACAATACGTCGCACGCATTGCCACGTCGTTCTATCTTTGTGGCATGGCACGACAGGCCGACATTTTACCCTACATATTTCTCTTCCCCCCACCCTCACCATAATGACTGTCTCCATGTATTGGTCCATTGTACAGTATAGCAGACCTGATGCGGGCCTCGGGCTGCGAGGTACCTGACTGGATGCTGAACATGAAGAAACCCTCCAAGTAAGTCTGTTGAGGCTAACTGGCCACATACGTAATTTCTTAGCTCTCAAATGCCTTGAATAAAGTTGTGAAGTGGGAAACATGAGTGTGTACAGAGTCAGTGGCAAAGATGTTGGCAATTTTACCATGTACCTAGCTGCACCGTCGTTTCCCTTGTGATGACTCCTATATATACACACCTGCAGAGCTACGAAGAAGAGACTGTCTCAGAAGCCAGTCAAGAGGGAGAGAATCGCGACAGTCACTCACTACGACCTGCAGAGAGCCCGAAAGAGAAAGGAGATGGTCCTGGCAAGCAAACGTGAAACAAACTCATCTGCAGACTAACTCTTTGCAGTTAAATCACCACTTTCAATCTTTGTCCCTAGATTTTCACCTACAAGACAGTCATTATCATTAACCCTCGGTGCGCATGTGCAGTGAGGGTTACAGTAGTTGGTTTAATAGGTGTACTAACTGGTCAAAGGAGTGATACATATATCCACAAGGGCTTACTTGGGACTTGCAAAACACGGGAGCATATGCACGACGGTGGTGAAAGGACTACAACAGATGGTACAAAAGTTATCAAATGGTATCAAAAATAATAATGTATGGCATAATGCAGCACAACCTGTGCCATCCCTGTAATTATACTATATAAGTACTTAGTGACTTCATGTCCCATGTCCTCCTCCTGAAGAGTCTGATCACTTCTGGCAGATCCAGGTGATGACCACCAAACCTGGGGGGAAGTTTGCCTAGAATATTAATCCTATTACCGCTAAATACATGAATTCATGTACAAGCGGTACAGCCAAGGTACCGCGTATCACATAATAATCTGGACACAAAATCTTACCCTTCTTTCTAGTCGATGTCCTCGCAAACATAGTGTCATGGTTGGCCCACGTAGCGGACTGAGAATCCGGTCCACGAACCCTGCCGCGTATGTTTCTCCGTCTGCCGTGTCGATGTCGTATATACCCATCGTCGCTTGCCATACTCCCGCTAGAAACGGACGTGCAGATTCCGTCCCTACATCGATCCCAGACCCCACCTGCAAGCTCTGCGGATCAGGACCAGAAGATGCAACTCACGTACTGCCCCGCCGTCTCTACAGCCTGTATTCGCCAGCGCTACCGGACCCTGACAGCTTTGCCGTACCCAGACTACGCCCTCTCTCGAGGAAAAGGCGTCCCACCACTCTGACCACTGCAGCGAGAGATAATCTACCACCTTCATTCTGAACGCCTTCGCCGACAACTTGCCCTCATTGACTCGCCCACCCAATAGGCTACTCTCATTTAGTGGAGGTTACAAAGAAGGCCACTGTCCCCTACCCCTGCCGGCCCCGCCTCCGCATCCTCGATCCCGCCGCTCTTCCCCGCGGTAATTTGTTCGCGCACGGTAATAAGCGAATGCGCTAAGAGGGTTAAAACATCTTCTTTCGATAACAGCACCTGTTGTATATAGATAGATGGAACTATCTACGGTAATTGTCTGTGCTGGTGAAGTAGTAGCTGGTGAACTTGGTAACAACATAGTTGTGTTACTTGGTGGATCTGGTGCAGGAGAGAACTCTGCATGAAACAAAAGTGCACTGGACACATTTCATTTCGGTGACTATATTCTTTACCTTCTGGCACTTGGATATCACCTGGTGTGCTATCATTGGTGCCATTGATCTCACGACTCGCAATGCATACACCTTTTGGAGTAGTGTTGTAGGAGGAGCTCTGACCGGAGACCATGTCATTGACCAGGGTCTGAACAGTGAAAGTTTGTCTCCTGCAGTCGTCCAGGACTTGCGACACATTGAGACTGGTCTCATTTGCGGACCATGTCTCTCCATTTTCTCCACTCTCCATGTCTCTCACTGTCACGAAGTAGGAGATGTTGTAGTTAGTGAAGACTCGAAAGCCAGCAGGCAGAGCAGGTAGATGTAACACATGGTCCCACTGAAGGGTATCTATCCGCAAGGTAATCTCCGTGGGAGCTGGGATTTCGTCAGCATCTGACAAAATTTAGAGGCAATTTTTCAAAGCAAAAACATTAATTTTAGCTCACCATACACAGCAAATGTTACATTTAACAGCAGATTTCCATTTGCTCTGCACAAGCAGCTGAAAAATTTGGCCGACTGTGTGACATTGTGTCCAATCATGACCTCTGGACCTTCTTTGATCACTTTTTCTTGTGAGATGCCTTCAACACTGACTTCGATTGCCCACATGCAGGTACCCTCATACTGGAGAGTAACTGAAGTGTCATGTAGTATGCCGACCTGCACATACTGTGTCCCTGTGGTGAGAAACGTAGTCAGTATATACTTAATACATTATGTAGCAAGTGGTGGAAGACATTCAATTTAGTCCTAGCAGTCCACTTTGAACTGAGATCACACCTGACTAGGAAAAGGCTAGCTATAAGAAGTGCAGTGACTGTGGCATGCTGTGCTTCGAAGTAGAGGGGTATGACCATGTACCCAGGAGACCGAGATTTTTACTGCCCCCTTGTTGATTGGGGATTTCAAACATCACTCGTTGTTTAGCTCTGTCCTGTAGAAACTGCTGGAAGTGGATTGGACAAGAGCAAGCTTCATGCTACCTTGGACATCGTAGGCAACGTAGGAAGTGTGGGATTGTGAAGCAGCTGTTTGATGATGCCATGTGGACTTATGTATTATTGGCCATTGGCAGTGCGCAGCCATAACAATGACTCATGCAAAGTGGTCGTTTCAATACTGCTTGAAAACGGGACCAGTCCTTCGTCAATGAAAAGCACTAAAGTGCAAACCCTTGGCGAACTGCGCATGCACGGTACCACTAATTGATGGGCTGGGCTATTAGTATGCGTTTACTCGTGGTGGTCTCCCGCTAGTAGCTCGCGGAGAGTCTGACACGGGCTAGCTACAGTAGTAGATATCATGCGGGAGTCGATACACGCCCTTTGTTGTGACTTCTTATGCCTTCAAGATACACAGAGCAAGCGGGCCCGGTCGAGGTAAGCTTGTGCTAATTAGCGCATGCGCATTTTCCGCAGCGATAAAAATGGCCGACTACGCATTCCGTACTGACCTTCATTGCCCGTTAAGTAAGTTGTATCGTTTGTGAGACGAACGAACATTGGAGAAGTGAGACGTTTAGTAACAGACAGACACACACACACAGACACACAGACCCGACTACCGTACCCTCGCTGCGCATGTGCGCCGAGGGTAATGAACATTTAGATCGCCATTTTGATTGCCATTTTGATTGCCACAGCTGCTCTGTCAAAACAGTAACACACTCATCCCAACTTTGTTTACGGAACTCAATGGCCAAATTTGGTATTGTGAAGTATTCACTATATAGGCTAATACTCACTGGTGTGCATGCTCCTCATAACAGGAAAAAAGAGCCACAGACAAATTACGCCAAACAGGAATAGATCATCCACTCACTGGAATGACATATCCCAAAGTCAAAGAGATAATATGATGAAGGACCAACTCTTTTGCACACTATAGAGGCCCTCTACATCAGCTGTAGCTCAATGGACTAGCTCCTTAATCACACTTATAAGGTAAGAGGCAATTAGTGTCCACCTTCTCCAGTTACTGGAGCAATTTCAGAAGCACAGCTTCTATGATAACTCCAGTACCTTGCTGCAAGCAGGCGAGTGCTTTTGTGCGTCTCCAGCAGACCATGGTACAACATAATCATACTATCCCAACAAAAAAGAAGCGCTTCCTGGTACGACTCGACAGAGAAGCATGCCACTCATCCTGGTACAAGCCTCTTTAGGATATGAGTCAACTGTGTCATTTGTCCTGGTACCACCGTAGGTACAGGTGCAAACAGGCTGTCATTGGGGGAACCACCCATATTTCATGCCTAACCTTGAAATTGCTCTGGCGAAACAAATATTTTGGGGTCCAAATAGTGTGTAACAGCCATTTTTCCACGTGATTTGACCAGACCGGGCTGGTATATACCCGTGCCTATCTGTGCGGGCATGAAGATAACCCCCAAGCTACAAAGTGGCTGTTTTTTTATAGGAAATTGTGTAACCGCTCCCTACTGCGCTCTTACATCTGTTGCGCAATTTTTCTTCAAAACCACTTGACTACCACAAGAACAAATGGCTGGCGACACAACCTAGTGGTGTCAACAGGCGATTTTCCATTTGTTTCTATCCGGGGATGCTACACATACCTTGTTGTATATATACGTGATTCTAAAACCGACAGCCATTACAGGTGGCGTGTGCACGCTCCCGCAATTTTACGCGTCAGTAGTATAGTAGTACTACGTGCTACGTATCCATACAGGTGGCGGGAGGCAGCCTCTCGCTTCAGAAACAGCCGAGTAGCGGGAAACACGCCTTTCTCGGCGCAGGGGACCTGCGACTAAAGCTCGCAGGAGGCAGCGTCTCGCTTCAAAAGCAGCAAAGGAGCGCCCCTCCCTAGCAACTGTGCGGGCACAGCGCGCAGCATCACACGCACCATGCTCACCAACGGCTGTATATCCGCACTTGGGTCGCTCCCGCTCGCCAAAACCGCTTAGTATTCATCTAGTAGGCAGTTTACTTTCTTAGAGAGGGGCTGTACCGAGACTAGTGTTCACCTCCTCTACTCACCCGCCTGTCCGATTATTGGAGTGATAAGGCACAAGGAAAACAAGAAAATGCGCCCCATCTCGGTCCACTGCAACATCCTTAACGTCCAGCGTCTTTCACTGACACCTGCACACATGATTCTAATTAACGCTCATCTGCACATGAAATAGGAGCGCCCTGCGCGCATGCGCGCACCTTAGCCCCATACTATAAAGGCGGCTGGCTAGACCATGAGCTCTTCATTATGGCCTCGTTGTTTGTATGCGGAGCAGCAAGTATGCATTGCATGACGAACTCACGATGGAATATATACCTATTGGTGTTTCTTGCCGCAGAGACACAATATGTACGAACCGCAGGTATACTAAGAAACTCTTCAGTGACTCTGCACTATTACAACGGTTCCTGTAAGTGGATTATAACTGTAGTAGAATTGTTTGAAATAGAAATTGGAGAAGGTCCAGAAAGCACAATTACCAGACAAACAACAAACTTGTTTAATCACTTTGGCTGGAAGTGTGAAGCAAATGGAACTCTGCTGTTAGATGCAGCATTTACTGTGTATGGTGAGCTAAAATTAATGTTTTTTGCTTTGAAATTGCCTCTATATTTAATATCAGATGCTGACGAAATCCCAGCTCCCACGGAGATTACCTTGCGGATAGATACCCTTCAGTGGGACCATGTGTTACATCTACCTGCTTTGCCTGCTGGGTTTCGAGTCTTCATTAACTACAACGTCTCCTACCTCGTGACAGTGAGAGACATAGAGACTGGAAGGAAGGGAGAGACATTGTTCGCAAATGAGACAAGTCTCAATGTGTCGCAAGTCCTGGACGACTGCAGGAGACAAGAGTTCACTGTTCAGATCCTGGTCAATGACATCCTCTCCAGTCAGAGCTCCTTCTACAACACTACCCCCACCTGTGAGTGAATGTTTGGCACAGGATGTTTATAGTATAATATTATAAATATATATATATATAATATATACATATATAGCTCCAGGTTTCTTTAGGATGCTACCACTGCTAGTGGTACAAGAAGGCAGAATCACAATAGAGGTAAAAAAACCATGAAAGCAATACTGTATTGATGGTTGCTGATTTTCCTTTATCACAGGTGCTGTTTTATCTTGAGGGGAGACAATGTCTGTCTCAGTTCCACCTTATCATAAATGGACTGGTCAACATTTCTCTCAACGTCACCAGTTCTGACAGACAGAGAGGGGAGTTGACCTACGATCTCTCTACCTACACGACTCCAGAGGGTGTATGCAGTGTGAGTGGTGAGATCTATGGCACCAATGATTTTGGAGATAGCACACCAGTAGATATCCAACTGCCAGAAGGTAAAAGTTACAATGTCACTGGCTGATGTCTGTTTACTTATGGCACACAGAATGTCAATCAATGAGGCAAGACCTATTTACACCCTCAACAGCTATAAAGACACTGATATCAACACCCACCATCACCTTATCGAAACCACCTGATGTTGTTCCTATTTATATTATAGGTATGGTCCATGTTGGAATAATTTTACACCAGTCCATGTGTTTTTATTACAGCAGTGTCTATGCCAATGATGGTACTTGCAGTTGCAACCTGTCTTTTTATCATTTTTATTGCCATGAAATGCAGAGGTAATTTTTAAAACGGATTTTGGTCACATAAGGGATTAAAATTATCCCCGTGTCTGCAGGTAAAAAGAGTGTGGTGACAGAGGATGTCTCACTGCAGAAAAATGAGGCATACTGTACAGTCACTACCAGAGTTCCAATGAAGAGAAATGAGGCATATGAGACAGTACTAAGAGCCAACGAGGACAGTGAAAGTGGCTACGAGATTGTATAATAAGCATTGAAAATGGGAGACGAGGAAGCTATTTCACACTTCCATTCTAAACATACCTGGTACAGATAACAAGACATTTGAAGGGACTCTCCTCCTAGTATATATATAGGCTGTTTTGACACACACCGATTTTTGTGAAGGGAGGAGAGTTTAAACCACCAAGGGCTGAGTGCGTGCCCTAAAATTTTCCCACATTGCTTCATGGGAACATATTTCCAGGATGGTATATTACACAAGGTAGAGGAAAGGGCTAGGAGGCATTAGAGCTCACTCACGCTGAATTTCGTGTCTTCTAAATCTAGTAGATTTCACGTTTTCGTGTATTCTAAGTGCCCGGGGCGTTTTTTGTGCGCGCGCATATAGTAGGTGCGCGTTAATTAGAAAACCACGCGCTGAGTTCAACATAGTATTACAGGGAAAGGAGGAGAGGCGGCGTAGCTGGTCCCGTGCACATGCGCATGCTCGTCGTTAGACGGCGGTGGTGGCTGAGCCGTAGCGTCAGTTTCGTAGCTGTCACTTGCCTCTAGCAGTATACGTCGTTGTGGCTGTCTTCTTGCGAGTCTTCCAACCACTCCATGATGTCTTCGCAAAACATCGCGTTTTGGTTGCTAAGGGCGCGCAGAGCCTGCGCCCGCTCTAAATAAGTTAGGCAGGCTCGTCCAATGAAATCTACGCGATTTAGAAGGCCTCGGGCCCTTAGTAGCGTCCTCGCTACGCTCGGACGCTACAGCCCAGGGCCCTCGGCCTTCTAAATCGCGTAGATTTCACGGACTCACTGTCTAACTATTATATAGTTGATCACTTAAGGGTCACAAAGCGGGGACACACGGAGTGATTTTTCAACAAAAGTAGTGATGAGCTAACAGACATGTTTCTCTGTGTGATTAATCAGTTATTGGTTCTTGGAAAGTTGCAAGCTGGGTTAATAAAAGAACAGCCAGTTTTACTTTTCCCAGTACGGCCGTAATGCAAAGGGTTTCCCAGTAATGGACGAGCGAAGCAAGCCTACCTAGTCGTTTCAATGCGGGAATTTACGTGACGGCTCTGAAGGGCACTGCACATACTGTAACGTTTACCTAATTCTAAATACGGTCAAAACACTTATGAAATATTGAACTGCTCGCACTCGCTCGCCAACAATGCGTTGCATTCTCATTATGTGCATGTTCTGTGTCAGCAGCTTTACTCCATGTTAACAGTAAGGTGTATACAGCAGACATGAATCATTACATTAGGACCACTGTATCGTAATGATCTCTGCCTACGATGTCGTTTGATGTTGTGGTGGTTGTGTTGGGAGAGGAGATGGTCCTGGCTAGCAAACAACGTGAAACAAACTCAGACTAGCTGGTTTTCCTCGTATTATTCTGTTTTATCAGAACACTGGTGATCCTATAATTTCCAGGTAGAATTTATTGTTGTTGTGCCCCAATGCCCGAATCTATAATGTACGCCACTGAACTGATTCGAGCTTGTTTTACTTCACGCAACATTGGCCATAGACTTTATAAGTTTTTTATCATCACAGGGGCTTCTCAGTGATCAGACAATATATTTCTAGTATATATGTACAATAAATTATTGCATGTTCCGTGGCAGCAGTCCACAGTCCAATGTGTATGTAGCAGACACGAATCATGATAAAGCATTAGATCATGCGGGACCACGGTATATATATATATCGTAGTGACGTGTCTCTTCTCATGATGTCGTCTGATGTTGTGGCTGTTGTGATGGAGTAGTGCTAGTGGAGTCCTCGTCGGCCGTACCCTCGGCCTCCTGTGCTATCTTGGCGAGCGTCAGCTTCAGGTCGTTCACACAGCCACTGGGAATGAGGATACCTGTGTACAGATATATATATATTATATATACACACACAGGGAATTCTAAAGGCAGTGTCAAATGGAGGATTGTGAACTGGTATAATATGCTAGCCACACCACCAAAATCAGGTGTACATAATATACTGGACAGTGGGGCACTCGGAAAAGAATGGCTCAACATCAAGTTCCAAGCACACATTGTTTTGCAATTTTCAGGGTTAAGCCTCAAGCAGTGATGATGGTTAAACCATGAAAACAACTGGAACACAATGTGCACCACAAGGAGGTCCTGTAATCTATATATGGAGTCGGCAAACCTCATTCTCTCACAGAACAACACAATTCCCACTGTGATAGACTCACCGACAAGTCTCTTCCACGAGGTCTGGACTCTGGCAATCTGCATCCTGCTGTTGTGGCTGCTGTGTCTGCCCAGGACCCCCTCCAGGTGAGTCCACACCCCGAGCACCGAGCCTCCCAGTATGTAGTAGTGTCTCCTCCGCAGTCCCACCTCACACGGCTGGCCCGGAGACGACAACTTGCACCGTCCCTGCCTGCGGGCACAAAATACATACTTACTTAGTATATTATTATTAGTCAGTGTCAGGCTCTTTATATATAAATGAAGGAACATTGCCTGTGTGGGTAATACACGATCACAAACTTCACATTACAGTGAATGGCTCAAAAAGTCATGATCTTTACTTGTGGATGTTAACATGCACTTCTACATACAAGCTGATCTGTGCGTAAATGCCTCATTCGTGCAAGAGTTAATACACTGACTGACAGACTGACCAGAAGGCATGGCTGCAGACCGAGAGAGAGGACTGGTACTGCATGCCCCACCATTTCTCCGCCTCCTCCTCCTCTCCCACCTTGGTGTACTTCTTCTGGAGGACCTTCAGTTTCTCTGACTGTGACTGGCGACCTGTGTTAGGTCTGTAGACAGCAAACAGACTGCTGGACGGGTCGGCCACCTTCAGCAGCACCGCCACATGCTTGTCATTCCTCGGCTAAGATAGAACGTACAGCATTAACTGTGTGTTGTCACTGGAGGTTGTAATATATACTGCTGTAGAACTTTCACGAAGAAATTATATTTAAAGCGAACATGGCAGTATATGAAAAATTAGTAATTTTTTCTTGTACTGGGTGCGAATACCACTGTGTACAGCATTAGCCAAAAAGCTGCACCATATGTTCTATGTATGTATGCAGCACATTCACGAATGTTAAGCTATATACTAGTACATAGTACATATGTAGTACGTACTTTCTTAGAGATATAGAAGCCCTCTCCAGGGAAGGGGTCTGTATGGAGTAGACTGAGAGCATCAGGAAATGACAGTCCTCTCTCCACCAAGATCTGCAACATTCAAACACACCACTCAGTACTTTACAAACCTATGCACACCCTGTATATACTCTCTCTATGGTAGAGAACTCTTCTATGATCTATGAACTACAGGCAAAACTATTGCAATCTTTGCTCTCTATGGTACCCGAGGCACTGTAGTATGGCCTAAGTCATTACATGCGGCTGCCACCCTTACCTTGTGCAGTTGTGTGGTAGCAGTGCCGTAAGCTGGGTCACCAACATACTCCTGTACCTCCACTACCTCCACCTCCTCACCTCCTCCTCCAAAATCTGGGAGAGAAAAAAACATGCAAGCGGCAACAAGTGGGATTTTAAAACAAATCAGCACTACGATAAGCATGCCTCGCACATGCAGTACTCACAACACGTGATACATACTATATGGTTCAACTTGAGAGAAAAGTATATTATACACTTCCAAATGAAAAATCTTTTTAAAAAGTAAAATACTTGAATATACCACAGACCATTGAAGCAGGAACTATGGCATTACTATACTGTATATACCTCTGATGCCGCCGTCCCAGCTCCCAGCTCTCTTGGCTTGTTTGACGAGTGAGGCCAGAGTGTCGGTGAAGTAGGCAAACAGCTGGTTCTGGAGTCTCACGGGCAGCCCGAGGAGCCGGTTGAGGAACCGAGAGAGAGTCGTGGAGTCTTTCTCCAGAGCAAAGAGCCCTCTGTCGCCTCGCGTCAACAGATCAACTCCAATTAGAGCCCCCCTAGTAGCTGGGAACATTGGGGAGAGAGGAGGTCAGCCATGTGCCATGCATTATAATGTCGTGTGAAAGATGCAAAGAGGTAGATATATACTGAACTACTAAGAACACAACAAGAGACTCGATACAGATTAAAAAAGGGTATAGGGTGCGCGAAAGAAAGAACATGCAAAAATATGAATAAAGGGAACAGGTGTACAAATATCTGTTTCGGAAGAGAAAGTTGTAAGGTAGGGTGTCCATTATAAACTCGTGATGCCAGAGAGAGAAGTTGCGGTATGCTCTGCTGATGAGGGCCAACAAGCCCGAAACAGCTGTCCAGAGCTCTCATCTTTTTTCTCTTGGCATCACATGGTCTATTGTTACATGAGATCAAGTGTATGGACATACTGTCTAGGAAGTCTTCAGTGTATTCCTCTGAATTGTTGAGAGAACTCTTCCCCTTCAGAACCGACTTGAGCACACTCTCCAGTGCCAGTCGCCCATACTGTATACACAAACATCATTACAGACACACATACATACCATTATAGCTGATGCTTAGCAGTTTTTGCACTCCATTATTGTGGGAGAAATGAAATCCCGGTCAAATTTCTAGGATTGCTTGTTCATGCAAATGTCCTTGCCAAAAAAATTTCACCGACATTAAAATGTGGAAGTTTTATGCCTTCAAAGGTTACCACTGAACACAGTTAACCCGTGTACATCGGTAAAGAACAAAGTGGTGCCGGGTTGTACACGTACGACGTACTTTGGTGTCTAGGTTGTATTTGGAGAGGTCCCTGGTCTCGGTGGCCCTGCGGTCCCCGTGGGTGAGTGCCCCCAGACTCTCCAGTCTCTTGGCCACCACGCTGGCGAACCTCTGCTCCCCCGACAACTTGGAGATGAGGAAGATGTACTCAGGAGCATTTACCTGGTTCGACCTGTGGGTACGACCTGAAAGGAGGGGAAGGAGAAGGGGGAAAATGGTTAAAATCATTTCTTTTTCCGTACCCTTCAATGGGTAAGTAAGTAATGAAACTTGAAAATGCTCTTATACGTACTGCATAATACACTCTCGGCGGTTTGCTGCACATGTTCATGTAAAAGACTAGATCAACCTCTCTTTTTATGTGAGCACATTGTGTAATGTTACATGTAGGTTCTCACCAAACTGTTGGATGGCCTTGTCAGCACTCCAGGGCAGCTCCAGTGTGATGTGCAGCCGCCGTCTGTGATTCTACAACACACACAGAAAAACATACCAAAATGTTACGCATACAACAACTCATTAATTTACTGGTTTGTGAACTCTTTGCATGCTTACAACATAAAACTGCATAAGTATTGACATTATTCTGCGTGAGATTCCAGTGAAACCTTCCCCTTTTTTACACCGATACTGATACACTGACACTGTGATATCTCTTCCACACCTTTGCCCTGCGGTCAGACTGGAGGGAGATCCCAGAGCTGGCAGCCTCAGAGATGATGGCAATGTTCTTCTCCCCGTCCATGAACCTCTGTTTCTCGGTGAGATTGAGCATCTCCAGCGAGACGTCCGACTCGCTGCGCAGTTGGTAGTGGACCGAGCCGTCTGGCAGACTCACCACGCGACCCCGCCTGCCCGTCATCTCTGCCACCTGGTGCAGGGAGAAGACGCAGAGAGAAGACGCAGGGGGAAGAGAGGGGAGAAAGAAGGAGGGAAAGGGCGGCGAAAAGAGGACAGAGGGTAGGAGGAGTGAGGGAGACAAGAGAGAACGGCCTACCCTGGAGGGACCTCCGAGATCGTCAATGAGTTCATCAAGAGTGTTGGGAGGCAAGTGAGGACTCAGTACCTCCAGCTTTCTCATTAGCTCCTCTTTCATCTGCATATACAACGATTTAAAAAAATCACGTATGTATTACGGTGTGTGTGGGTACGTCCATCCGCCGTTACTTGTAAAACTCTGCATTCAGACGACTATGCAGGTGGGCTCACTTCACTCGCCAATGAGTGTTTTCTCACTTTTCCAGTTATGTTATTAATATTACCCTCTTGACGGTGAAGTTCCTGAGACTGGAGTTGCTGCCAGTGGTCATGGCCGAAGAGCTCATGATGTTGAGGAGAGAGGAGCCGTCTGTCTGGCCCCCGGCCCCCTGCTGGAGACTCATCTGCTGCCGTAACGAGGGGGGCCCCTGGGCTGAGCGAGATATCCCCTCCGCTACAGCCACACTCTGTCTCCTGTCAGGTAGACCACCTCGAACCCCTTCCTTTGGAGAGCCCACTGACACAGAGAGAAGAGAGAGAGAATGCACTTAAAGGTGTGGCTCCTCCATGCACATGATAAGCTACAATAATATGCACAGAAACTACAGTTTTTGCATAACACCACGAGGGACCCACTTTACTAATCCAGACACCGATGGAACTGATGGAAGTGTCCATATAAGTAAGGTGTCCTTATTTCAGGGGTTAAACAATCCACAACATAGCGTGTTTAGCCAAAGGAGGGTTACCTGGTTCGAACTTGAGGCTCTTGGAGTTGAAGCCAGTCTTAGTTTTTCCTTTGCCTTTCCTACCGGACGAGGGTGGAGGTTTGATGGAGTAGTTCCTGGTCCTCAGGGATCCCTCCGTCTTGCGGCGCTTCATCTTCGACTTGTGGCCCCATGGCTCTGGGTCTGTGCGCATGCGAGAGACACAATTGACCAAAAAAACCCACTGTATATATGTAGTACAATACACATTTAAAAGTGGAAAAAAATTGTATCAAGTTTACATGGTGCCACATCCACGAATGTTTAAAAAACTGGTGTACGTTCACTGCAGTTCATAAGGACAGCTTATCGACCAAATATCTGCACATTGAACATGTATCGTCCTCACTACACTCCCAATGATACAGAGTATATATAATTATACGTGTAAGAAGTCTCAGGTTGCTTTCATTCATGTTGACTTGAAATGATTCTGTGGGGGGACTGACCATCATTGAGACCAAAGGGGTTAAAGTTGTCATCATTGGAGCCACTGTCGTCATCACTGCTATCCTCCTCCTCCTCCTCCTCACCCCCCACTCCCTCCATCACCTCTCCCCCCTCCCCCTCATCACTGGAGCTCTCCACTGCCGAGTCACCATCTGCTGAACTGCAGTAATGGACACCACACACTGTGTGTCGAAACCTCATCTCTCTATGTACTAATGCTTGAAGCAACTCTTCCCGCGGTGTTTGAACCTAATACACACATTGACCCTTATCCCTCTTTATAATTATTGGTAACTGCAGCAAATTACATAAAGGGGGAGAGGGGAGTAGGGAGACAAATCTTTTTCTTCCGAGTGATTAACCACTTAGCGGAAAGCGTATAGGCATAAAATTGGTTTAACTATAGGACCATATCCAGTGTATACAGCATGTACCTGCTGTCATCACTGTCGCTAGAGAACTCCTCGTCCTGGAACATTGGTCCCCTGTGCTCGCTGCGTTTCCTCTTGCGACAGGCGGAAGGGAGAGTGGAGTCACTGTCAAAGAGAGCCCAGTCCATCCCGACTCTGTTGGGTGCCGGGAAATGACGCTTTATCAGTGACTCCAGGACACCTCTGGGATCAGGGAGAGAGGAGGGGGAAAGGGAAGAGGGGTGAAGAAGAGGGAGAGAAGAGAGCAGAGGAAAGGGGAGGCAGGAGAAAGGAAAGAGAGAGGAGAGAGATGAGGAAGAAAGGGAGACAGGACACGAGGAGGAAGAGAGGTAAAAAAGGAACAGAGAGAGAGACAGACAGATGGACGGAATTAAGATTAGCTAGATTGCTAGTAGCACTTATACTAGATTAAAGTGTTCCTATACAGAAAATTAACTCATTGCACGTGTAATGCTTATAAAAAAGCCATCATGAATAATTAATGAAGCAGGAAAAGTGGAACAGAACCCTCTGTTCCACTTTTCCTGCTTGGACTGGGCTCTGGGGGGAGAGGGAGGGGGAGGGGGGATGAGTGCACATTATGCTACGTGTGAAATGAGTTAAAGAAACATAGACTCACTTGGCGGTGGAGATGAACCCGGTGAGCTCTCCGTTGCTCTGCTCCAGCTGCTCCAGGGTGCGGGCCTCCCCCGTGGACTGGAGACCAATCACCGCACACTTGCCCTCCGACAGACCCTTCTTTGCCAGTCGCACCACCTCCGCGACCTTGGCAGCTATACACAGGTACTTGAAGAACCTCTGTAGACAGATATGTAGTTACACACATAGACATGGAGTATGCAGCACTGAAAACGACTATCAACGAAACGACTATCAACGAAGCCCCTACCTGATGAGAGGCCCAAAACTGTGCCCACATGGTCTTCAGTTTCTTCCTGTCATAGTCCATCAGATCTGCTGCCTCCTGGAACAGTCTCTTTGCATCCACCCACTGTAGTAAAGCAACAGACAACAATAACACTGCACCCACAGTGGGCCACACAAAAGACAATAACACTGCATCCAATAGACACACGCCCACAAGAGACAATAAACTGAACCTACTGTAGGCCACACAACAATTCAAGTGGTAATCAGAGCACGGGGTCTTTAAGCTGGGTTCACAATCTGTTGCATCACCTCAGAACACCGCAAGAGAGATTCCACCCTCGCAACACAGCATGCGAGTATTAATTAACATAGGTCCTAACACGTAAAACTCAACCAAATCCAGTAATCACCCCATTGAAACTTTTCCAAAACTCTGGCTGCATATGGGAATTTGTATATACGAGCATTTCCAGCACGCCTAACCCAGTGCCCCAACTCTATTAGGTATATACATATGTATGCATTAGTTCTCACCACACATTATGTATTACATAGTATCACACAATTAGCAAACCAAAATTGTGTCCGATATGGTCATTTAGTAAGGCTTAAAACCATGTATGCCAACAATAAGTATGGAGTTACAGGAAATCATGAGATATATAGTTTCAGTTTGTGGTTTTATTCCTACACACATTCACGGCCAAACACTTGTAGTAAGTCGGAAAATAGTCACACCCAAGCTCACCTACACCTACAACTCCCAGGCAAAAGCTGGTGTTCCCCTCTCCTCTAAAAGCCGAGGGAGAAGGTCTGGGTCAAGGCTAGTACAGTATATACCGTACTAGTTCCTCATATGTATGGTCAGGGACGTTGAGATAGTGACATCAACAGTGTACAGTTGAGAGAGTGCATGTGTACAATGTTACATAATAACTCACCATTTCAACTGAGGAGTCATACATCTCAATGAACTTGTCGGTTAGGGACACCTCTCGGATGTCAAAGGTCACGCCGGAGAAACTGAGCTGCCGAGCAATGTACATCCCTCGCAACTGCAAGAGAGTTTTGCACATGCATTACAGTAATATGTTACATGGCACTGGCATGGCAAATATTATTATCGCCAATACAAGGAGTATGATCATGTTGTGGGCGTACCTTCATGTCCATTGCAACTATCTCCATCGCTCCAACTCCCCTAAAGAAACGCAAGTTTTTCAAGCTGAAACATACTTAGCCGGTGGAAACATTACTGTATTTGGACAATACTCTATAGCAAATGGAGGAAGAAAATGTTTGCGACCAGGTAGGAAAAAACAGAATTTACTACTACTTAACATTGTTTGCCAAACTCATCCAAGATTCACAAGAGAAAAGTTTCACAACAAAAAACCTTCCTCAAAATATTTCCACAACAGCAAATCATTGGTAAAACAGTCGTAATTTTCGTCCTTCTACACAAAAACACTTCCACAGACTCTGTATGTATGTGCACCTTCTCTCCACAGCCTTGATGAAGTCGTGGAAACTCGGGAACTGTGTTCCGGGTCCCCATATCCCCAGTCGAGACATGTACGCCATGTTCCGCGGCTCCGAGGCGCCCGTGGCACTGCAGTACACGATCCTCGCCTTTGGCAGTCTCTTCTGGAGCTGGAGCACCGTGAGGCCCGTCTTGCTCGGCTTGCTGGCCCCCGTCGGTACCAGGTTCTTGGCCTTGTGGCACTCATCAAACACTATCTGGTGTAAATGCCACAAAGTCAAGGCATTAACTTTTCCCCATTCCTCTCTTGCTGGTGCATATGTTCCACTTTAGCTGTAGTACAATATTGCATTATAGCTACGTGTATAATTCCACTGTTGTTGTAGCACAGTATTGTACCAATTATTTTTCTCTCTCTGTGCTATTCTCAAGGCAATATTTCAGCATTTAGGGGGAAAAACAGTCCTGTATCACAGACAGGGTATTTCTTCTGCTGCAAACTATATCTACACCAAGGACTGCTGCAAACTGTACCTACACTCCTACTCTACTGCAGTAGTTCGTGAGATATGTCTGAGGCGTCTGCTAAACTCAGGAGAAATATCGGCCCTGTGATTGTACAAATGGTACGAAGTGAGGATACAACTCCCTCGAACTGGCCCAGCCAGTGGAGCAGTTGGTTGAGCCGTGTCCGATATTTCCCTCCGCTGGAGCTCTCTCCAATCAGAGAAGAGTAAGTGGAAAATATGACTCCCTTTCTCACTCGACCATTACGCTTCCCGCTGATTTTCCCGTAGTAAAACTACAAGAATGATGATTCTTGAGACTACGTAGAATAAAAAATTGCGTATATACCTTATTTAAAGAATAGACTTCTATTTTCTTTGCACCAACATCCTTTAGATCCCTAGAAGAGGTGGAAAATAATGGTTGAAGAAAAAGAATGGGAAAAAAAAGAAAAAATAATGCCGAGACCCGGGATTGAACCGGGGACCTTCAGATCTTCAGTCTGACGCTCTCCCAACTGAGCTACCGCGGCTCACTTCGAACATTACTATACATACATTTTAGTCATTCCTTAGCATAACATTACCTAATAGCGTCATACTTCAGGTCGTTGGACACACTCAGCCTGAAAATGGAGGCAAACTCAGTTGAATAAACAATCCATGGGCACTGCTAAGAGCTTACCAAATCGCTTTCTTTCTTCCTTCTAGGTAGTTCTGATAGATAATGCCTGGGAATTTTTTAGAAAGCAGCAACGTTTAGATAAACCAACGCTAAGCACGCACACTATTACAGCAGTAGATAGAGCTTACCTGCTATTGTTCTTCCTTTTCCTACGCCAGCACCATCCCCTGTATACACACAACAACTGATAAATACGTGCACAATGTACACAAACAACCAAAGTCTGTGACTCATAGTTCCTACGAGTGTGTTGTACATCATACGAGATATGGCTGTGAGGTTGAGGGTGGTTGGAGATGCTATGCACGCGATGTTTCTTATAACGTGAACTTAAAAGGACAGAGAAGAGTACGTAGATGAACGGAACTCTGCTTAGGCCTAAAGTGTCATTGGTTCGAGTCCTACCCAGGTAAGTTCTTTTGCCCTGTTGTTCTAAGTGTCGTTAAGCTGTTTGTTTTGCACTTAGTACTTAGGAAACATACGTGCATACAAGGTAAAAAAGGAGATACTGGACACTAGACTGTAGGACTTGTTGGTCTGCGTGTGTCATCATCGAGGTCAAGGCAAAGCAAAGGCAAAGGGAAACAAACAGCACAGAGCCGGGTGTCTCATCTCCACAATGCAGGACTCACCGACTAGAAACCCAGCCCTGGATCCGTCGGAGAGAATGTTCATATGCTGCTGGCAGGCATAGACCACGGCCTCCAGTTGGAGCGAGGAGAGCTGGATTTGTTCTATCACGTGAGGTGGGAGCTTCAGGTCGAACCAGACTTGGGGTGGTTCCACACTAGACAGGGAACTTTAGGGGAGGGATACATGGGGAGGGGAGAGGGAGAGAATGAGGACACAGAAAATGGAATCATGGAATCAGTAGAGGGAGGGAGAAAATGGGAGGAGGCAGTTGGGAATAATTGGAAGTGGAGAAAACACTTGTAATCAAAGAAAATGGATAAGGAACAGAAAATTAATCACGCTGGTGTTTGTAGACTAATAAGTAGTATGGCGCACATGTACCTTGACTCAACAATGGGGTCAGGATGACTGTGGCCGATCCTCACTGTGCGGAACAAAACATACACATTGGATACCCTGGGGTTTAGACACGCGTTGCTCACGTTTCGAAGGTTTATAATTGGAGTACGTAGTGATGGCCGCCCAGTCTTCATCCTCATCCTCCGACTCGTCTTCCTAGACACACAAACCACACACGGTTAACAATCTCCGTGCTACAGTACGCTACAAATTGTGAACAATGTTTTGAGGAAACAGCAAGTACGCTACCTACCTACCTCTTTTCATGCATACATTCTGTAAACTGTGGCAATGGTGTGTACGTATATTAAGGCGGGGCATGGAATGGAGTATAGCATACAAAATCTCTCAAAAAAGCCTTTGTGGTTCAACTAGTGTGTGTACTGTAGGTGCAAGAGCCTCTTGCCTTATTTCATGCACATTGAAAGTCATCACTATACTATGTGCGTATGTAGGAGAGAAACTGCATGTTCAGGCAGTATATACTACCACTATGGTATTCTTTTGTGTATCAAAACTACCACCAAAAGAGGCAGGGGAGGTCATGCACTCATGCACAGCATCAATACACTACTGCCACCTATGCAGAGTCCTGACCTGTTCAGGTTGCGAACTTTGCTGCTCACTGGCAGGTCTCCCTTGTTTGAGAGCCCCAGCTCTGGAGATAGAACACAATCACAGCATTATATAAAATAGGATAAAGTTCTGACAATAAAATGTATGGGCACAATGCTGTGCAACTGTAATGACAACGGCTGCTTTTCAATAATAGAGGTCTTCAATTCAGTTGACATAACCAGCATCATATAATGTATATTATACCTCTGAAGGGCCTTGGCAAGAAACGAGACTCCGCCCGGCAGCGAAAAGAGCCGGTGGGTCCTGGCCCCGCCCCCCACTCCCTCCATAGCTGTCTGGACGGCAGACGGCGGGACGATGGTCACGGACACCGTACTGGTGAGGGGTGACGTTGAGACGGAGCCAGGGGTCATCTTGGTGACCTCTCTGAGAATGGCCGCCAGATCCAACTTGGTGGCGGGGAGAGCTGGCTTGGTAGCAGCAGAAGGGAGTCCCGGCTTGGTGGTGAAGAGGGCTACTTTCTTTGTGGATGAGGGCGTGGTCGTGGATGTGCTGGTGGAGGTGATTTTGTTGAGACCTGTGATTGTGTTGGAGGAGGGGGAGGAGGAGAGGGAGGGTGCTGCTGGTGAGCTGGTGGATGAAGTGAGCGAGGGTGCTGGGAAAGGGAGTGGGAGAGCCCTTTTGGTGGTCTTGACAGACGAGGAGGAGGCGGAGAGGGAAGAGGAAGACGATGTTGAGGTAGCAGCAGTTGTCAGTTTTACACTCTGGGGAGCCGTTAACACTGGACTCCTAGAGACAGCAGGTGGTGTGTTCTGCCCCGTGCTACCAGGCACAGAAACACCTGGGGCGGAGGAGGGTGGCTCCATGCTTCCAAGGTGGTGTGTGCTTGGCATGTTTAGGAGAGAGGAGAAAGGGTCTGCAGCTGTATTGGTGCACAAACCAGGCAGGCTGGGCGAGGTGGTATGGGAGGGAAGGAGAAAAGGATCGCTGGGAGCAGTATTTAGGGTTGAATTTGAGCCGACAGATCCAGTAAGGAAAGACATTTCATTGACACTGTCAACACTCATGCTGTCTCCTCCGGCTAACAGCTCGTCCAAGTCAATGTCATTGTCTAATGCCGAGTTTCGGAGCTCTGCTTTCAACAGCTCTGCCGTCTTCATTTCCGATTCGGACGGAGGTCTGGTGACCAGGGACAGCGCACAGTTAGTGACTGAGGGAGGAACTGTGGGGGTCTGTGCCGACTGAGCTGTTGGGGTTGGTTTTCCACTTGACACAACAGTTGCAGTAGGTTGTGGGTTTGTTCCAGTTGCACGTGATTTATTCTGTTCGTTTCTGAGTGCATTCTCTCGTGCCAAGGTGGACAGTAAACCGGCAGTCAGCACGCTGATATCGGTAGAGAGGAGAGAGGAGTCCAGGGTATTGGCTGCAGCGTTGAGGATGGAGCTGTGGTCAACCGATATCTGTGCAGGAGCTATAGAGTTCACTCCAGTCTGGAAAAGAGCCATTGACAAGATATCCCCCAACCCTCCTCCACTCTTCCCTGTCCCACCTCCACCGCCTTCTTCCCCGGGAGCATTCTCAGCCATTGACAAATAGCCAGTGTGCGAGTGCGTGGGACTTCCTCCGTTCTACTTTGCCATTGGGAGTGCTTCAAATGGCGTTTCAGATCCTGTGACGAGGTGCTGCACCGAACGGCAGCAGCAATACACGCACATGTATACTGACCAGGGGGTGAGCTCTAATTAGAGAGCCACACTGATTGAATTTTGTAACCAAGGAAAAGCGGAACGGTGTATTTTCATGCAGCTCTACTCACGTAACTTACATGTGCACAGATAAATGATCTTGACGCCTAAATACGGGGGGAGTGAACAGAACTGCCGCAAACGAAAACGCAAGCGAACAGTCGTCAACGACAACCGTAGGGGGCTGTAGCTGCGTCTTGGCCCCTCGAAAGTCACCCTCTTTCTTCCTCTGGCTTTCTGCTGCCCAACTTCTGTGCTGTGTGGTTCCACACATCGCGAGCCTTTTATCCACAAAATAGGGACCTCTATGACGTAACTATTCCTAACGAAATCACATGACTTGAAAGTAACCGCATGAGTGTGGCGCGCGCCGCCGCCTGCATATAAACACATATAAAAGATGATTTTTTGACACTAAACGAGAGTGTAATTAAGTCAACCAGGATCATCGCTGTCTTCACTATCTTCGTCTAACTGTGGTAGAGGAAATCTCAAGATGGCTGCCACACCTGACAACTGACCCAGCTCTATAAAAGTCAGAGAAAGGGTAAATTTTGAGAACTATATACTTTTTGCCTTTCTCACGTTCTCCGGAGACGTGTAGACTGGAGAAGACTTTGACGGTGCCTCCTCCGTCTCTGACACTCTCCACTAGTCCCACATACCTCTGTCTTGTTGGGACATCCGCAGATCTGGGGAGACACACATCAAACAGGGACGCAAGGCAAGCGCATAATCACCACACACCCAGAAAGCTACCATACAATGTTTTGAGTAAGAAAACCCTTATAATTCAGAAAGAATTTACTGTGAAAATGTCTGTGGATTGCTAAGAATGCTCTAATCCACAAAATGTAACCTTCATTGATGGCTTAAAATCTTCTCCCTAAATTAATTATTACTCTCACTGTATGGTACATGTTAATTTACAATGCTAAACTTGTGTGAGATGTACTAAAAACCTGAAGAGTTCGTCTGTGACCATCAGCAGTTCAATCCCATTTGCTTCGTTGGCTTTCTCGATGTGTTTTATTCTGAGGAAAATGAACATCTTTTCATCATCAGTAGACATACACTCTTACCCGTAGCACGCTCTATTGGGCTCATGTTGTAGCATGGAATAGAACGATTCTAGTGCCTTCACTTCACTTGCAGCCTACACAGTATATATATTAGCTGTAAGTATACATACACTCGTCTATAGTAGAAACACATGCTATAAGGGTTTTTGAGTGCTGTCAATGCTCACTTTGGTGTCAGCGAGTCTGACAGAGGCAGCGGGATCCGCCAGCACTTCTTTCAGGGAGTGTTTGTGGCCGGATGATGAGTGTATCTATTAACACAAACACGTTAACTATAAGTCAATTTATATACAGGTCCAGTATGGAGATAAACTGTCAGACTTTTTGTTCAGTATTCAGCACCCAAAATATTCAAAGTAATATAACATTCTGGGAATACTGGAGTGACACAATTAGAAGGATAGAAGCACAAATGCCTCTTCCCACTTATATATGCACGCTTGCTTTGAATGTGGTCTTACCAGTAAAAATTTAGGTTTATTTTCCAACAAAACTTTATTGTCAGTCTTGACAGCCTCGGCAAATAAATGTTCAACAAATTGATCCTACAAAGGAGGAGAAGAAGCACTATCACAGCATCACGGCCCGTATGTAAACCCTGGCCTACCTTTATAAAACCTGGACTAGCTACTATGAGACACTTTATGACTGTAGATTGTGTGTGTGTGTGAGAGAGAGAAGTATGGATAACAAGAGGAATACTGCATAGCACCATATTATCTAGGACATATCTCGCAGTTTTCACCCGAGTACAATATATAAATCCCAAATACGTTTTAATCAACAAAAAGGCGAATCTCCATTGTAAACACCAACGTACAGTAGTTGCTATTAACATCATCCTCAATAAAAGCTTATTAAATAGGCCTTGGGGAAATGATTATTGTTTCCACAAAACTAACACCCATGCAAAATGGTCCCATAATTATGTTAGGTATATACCGTCAAATCTGATGTGACGGAGCATTGCTTGCATCACAGTATCGTAGAATCTCTTCAGAGCCTTGGCAAATAGAGAGTGAGATTCGTGTGAATTAACTGAGAGAGACGTGTGGATACCTTGTCATGGCTCTCGCAGGAGCCTCTTCTCTTGCGAGGGATGTGAACTTCGACCCTCGCTCGAGTCAGGGTCATGCACTCCGTCACCACACACACGTGAGCGAGCCCTGCAATACACATACAGTACAGGTCACATCAATGGAGAGGAGAGAGAGAGATCATATCAGAGTGGGTCACATTCGAGTACATGCCCAGGTTTGCCGTTCGTTGCGGGCAAAGCTTGGCGTAAGTGTCTCATTCAGTGGAGACACAGGGAAATGGTAAAGAGACTGGCTCAGACTGCCAATCACATCTTAGGCCTATTGGCAGGAGAAGCTACATGCTCCTTCTCTCAGAGACTAACCTTCCTGCATGATGACTGCAGCCACGTCGGCTGTTCGAGTTGGATCACACGCCAGATCTGAGGTTGGAACATTAATATAATGATTGTGGTTCTATATTAAAGTGAGAGACTTTAGAGACAAAAAATCCACGATTTAAGAGCCATTTTGCGAAGGTGTATGCTCAGTTTTGCGAGTGGTGACCACAGTTATATATATCTGCTTGCTATGTTATACTGAATTATGAAAGTTATCTTTCCACTAAGTGCTTTTTTCATGGACCATGGATCGAGAGAGTGTACTGACCTAATCTATCGAGTGCTATCACGTCCCAGTGCTGCTTTGCCAGCGTGAACTTCTGGTTCAGCTGCAGGTCAATGGTGTGGTAGGCCCCCATCTTTACATACTGGTTCTCCTGTATGTTCTTCCCCTTCACCCTGAGCTGGCAGGCAGCCGTGTCAAACTCTATTGTCTCTATGGATACGGTGAGGTTTGTACGAACTCTGTTGGAAGTGCTGGAGCCAGTCGAAGATTCGTCCTTCACTTTTCTACGGAAACAATAGAAGCACACTGTACGATGTAGGGTCAGCTCCTCACCTGATTGTGGTTGATTTGATGCTATCCCCCTTGCTGACTAGGTTGTATGCATGCCACATGTCCTCAGGTTCTTCTGGTATAAGCACGACTTGCCTGGAGACACGTCGACACGATAGAACAGGCGCACTGCCGGGCCAGTTTCAAGTAAAGGCCGGAGAAACTCACCCAGTGCCGTTCTTGTCGAGGTCCCGGTGCACGAGCTTCATGGCATGAAACCGCGGTCCGTGGATCTACCTCTGGCTATAGTGAGTACGTCGTCTCGATATCTAGCATAGTAAGAGAGGCAAAGGCGAGCGAGCTGCATTGACGGTTCGAAACACGTGGAAACCCCGGCCGAGAGCTTGACCTTTACTTTTGGTGCCCCGCCCCTTGAATGATCATGGCAGCGAGCTCAGCTCCAGTTCAAGATAGTCGCAGCGATGTTTTCCAGGCGGATACAGACCAGTAGGCTACAGAAGATAATGCTGCATTTACCAAATGAACGTCATAAGCCTCCATCGTCTATCTAACCTTGCTCCAGGTTCAAGGGTGTCATACTAACTCCACAGCACTATGGACTACTGTCTCCAACAGAATTCGAGAGAAGGCTGCAAGGTTATAATTGTTGGCTGATAACCGCAGAGAGTGTCTCGTATATATAGACTATTGTGGTCCTGCTGTAGTGTTAGCACAGCTGTAGTTAGCACATCTGATGGTGAATTTTCATTGTGTGATTGAGGTTTTTCCCCTCTCGTCCTCCTCTCACTCAGCGTCACTGGCAGTATGGCAGGAGGAAGGGAGGAGAGGGGTGTGGGTTAAGATACCACTGACCCAATCGGAACTAGTCCCTTCTGCTGCAAAGGTATATGAGTGAACTGGCAACTCGTTCATGTGACCCAATCCTACATCCTCTCTCTCCATGAAGCTAGGTCTCCAGTTCCACCATGCTCACTGCGACCACCTCATGATGACCAAATGGCTCCCCACCTCTGAGCCCAACAACCTCCCTGACTTTGCACACCACTACATTGGTCAGCTGGTATATAATTATGATACTAACCCAACTCCAGCACTATAAGGACCTAGTAGGAGATACGGTAGCTTTGTCTTGAAACCTAGCACAACAGAAAGGTGCCAGATATATAGTAGTAGTTCTTATACTCATAGCCTTATCGATAAAGATAAAGCCACTCACCACTCGTGTGGCTACCATAAGATGGAAACAAAGACTTGAGAGCTGCTATAAAAATTTTTTTGAAGGCCAGGAACAAGCAATCCACATATTTACACGATCAAAGTTTTCCCCTGAAGACTATGGTGCTTTATCATATCCCCCCCTCGTTGTACCTCCCTGCATGTCTGCATTTCGTACTGTTCATACAGGTGTGGCAGGGTTTGTGGTGAATGCGGAGGGCCAGGTTCTCCTAGTTCAGGAGAAGTGGCTCAAAAGACTTTCCCTGAGACACTGGAAACTGCCCGGAGGACACACCGAGAAAGGTTGGGCAAACATTTCTTTAGTGATTGAAATTTCACTTGGATTCTCTCCGTGTTGTCGTGTGCCATCACAGAAAGATCCAACTGTGTGCCTAGGTCAAAATAACCTGGTCAATAGCGTTCTAAACCAAAGATATGTGATAGTCTTGTATTGCAGAGGAGTTCGCATTGGTGTATCCCTTTGTATTGATTTGCTAAATATTCGAGGCAAAAACTTCCTGTGGTTTGAGGACCACAACATCATCTTTGAAATTTGGTGCTCCACGGCAGAAGTGGCGAAATTCATCATGATTCAAGACGTCTTTCGCTATGTTGATATAATATTATGTTGCATATACACACCGTAGGGGAAGAATTGTGGGAGACTGCCATTCGGGAGACGTTCGAGGAGACGGGAGTGAAGACAGAGTTTGTGGCAATGCTGTGTTTCAGACACATGCACGAGTACCGCTGGGGAACGGACGACATCTACTTTGTCTGTCTCCTCCGTCCCCTCACCACAGACATCACTGTCAACCCAGCCGAGATTGCTGAGGCCAAGTGGACGGATGTAAATATCCCTAGCTAACACCACAGATTACACAGGAGCTCTTCATTTTCAAGCACTAATTGTCAATGGGGAATGGCGAGTATATATAGACAAAGCTCAACATTTATACACTATAATGGATATGGAACTGCTATCATTATACTGTACGGTGGCTGTATGTAGCTGTGTTCCTTTGTGCAATAAAGCTCTGAGTGGAACCTTACAAGCTCTGGGGGAAATTTTATTGAGTGTTTTGGCCTTCGGACCCCACACTAGGTTCGTTTAGTGTGAATTACTCAAGCTCCTCTGTGAATAAAATATTTTGGCTTTGTGTTTCTATGCAGGTGAATGCATACATAGGTGACCCAGAAACGACCACAACCAATCGCCTCATAGCCCAGTCCTATAAAGACGGGCTAGCCAGTGGCTCATTCATCCAGCCAGTCTCTTTTCCACACTTCTTTGCCAACAAGAAGGACCTCGTTTTCTACAGTAACCGACCACTGGACGAGGAAGATAGGAGGAAGGAGAAGAGCGAACCTCACACTAAATTATGACCTTTCTTGTTTCTTGTTAATGATTAATGATCAAACCTAATATCATATTCCAAAAGTCATAATATTATTGGCCGGTGCACAACATAGCGCAGCGCAGGCGCTTAGCTACAAACAAAGCAGTTGTATATATGCATGACATTGTGTGTAAGAGCTGAACCACGTTTGGATGACAGTCAGCAGTCTTTCGCCCAGGTCTGCTCAGCATCCAGGATCAGACAATCCTCAGGGTAGTTTCCTTTTTCCTTCAGAGCTTAAAAGTAAGAAAAATTTGTGCATGTGAGTGGAGGTTATCAAAATGCTGAAAAAAATGTACCCTCGCTCTTATATTAGAAAGTTTTCCTCACCAAGTGCCATCAATATAATATTTGCTCCCAGTGTAATGAAAAGTGCTAAAGTGTAAACCCTGCGCATGCGTGGTACTGCTCTTTGAAAACCACAGTCACTCATCAGTATAATTATAGTCAAGTTTGTTGTGACGTTTGCAGACAGTGAAGGATTATCCCGGCAGCGACGCCCACATTGAGGGAGTCGAACCCAGGTGGAAGCGGCCTCAGTGGAGGGATTGTCAGCAGAGCTGTGCATGACCGACTGAGCTCCTTACGAACACCATACCCTTCATTACCTATACACACAGCACATACATACAACAAAGTATTTGAAGTTATTAATCCAGCTATATTATATGTATGTTAAAACCAATTTGCTGAAATTCTCACACATGATGAGCATGGAGCTGACCTAGTACTAGCATGGTGGGGCTGCGAAGACGATAGTGAGTCACATCTTGGACAGGAATCGGTGTCAGCTTATCCACTGCTTCAGGACTACACGTACCGACCACTTCCCAACCATGGCTCTGCGCTGTCTGTGTATATAGTATAGGTAGTAAACTTTATGGGAGAAACTTCTGCAGTTTTGGGTTGCTTTTTTTATCGGGCAGGGAGCAGAATTGGCTATTAGTAAGGATTTCCTCTTTTTCCCTCAAATGATTCCAAGTAATATTTTTGATTTACTGAGAGAAAGCCTGACATGTCAGAAATTGAGAAGACAGTTGTCATTTCCATGGCTCCAGAGCTGGCCTTGCTAACCACTGGACTCAGGGAACAACTGGAGACAGAGAGGGAGAGGGGAGATGGACTGAGCTGAAACAAGGCCAGTAAAAGAGTAGTGAAGGGGAGGGAGAAATAGTCAGACAGACCAGCTAGGGTGGAAGGAAACTATCATGACCACAAAAAAACTAGGTTGCCATTCTAGTATATATAGTGTCTCACCAGTTCCTGGCAGTGGTGATTACACGGTCTGCCCCGAGAAAGAAAGCTGCTCGCAAGATGGCACCAAAGTTCATCGGATCCTATAGCCACACCCATTGGTAACCTCCTAAACACACACAAACAATCTTACCTGAATTCCATCCAGTGCTAGCCAAACTGGCAGTCTCTCTGAGAGAATATCCTTCTCCCTGTGAGAAAATCAATGATTGTGCAGTGATTTACGCAGGCTGGAGGCAGTCTCACAGCCAGCCAATTTTCTGGGTGGCTGGCACATGAGACCTGTGCTGGAGGGTGCTTACAGCCGACAGTCGCCTAAGTCCATCTTCCGGCACGATAGAGGAGATACATCCAATACTATTCCCTGCACAAGGAATCATGCAAAACTACTACAGTTTGCATCACAGAATGTTAGGGAAGAGCATGACCTCAGGATCATACCTGGTGTGGTCTCTTGGAGGACATTCTCTCCAGAGTTTCCTTACTGACATAGTGTATCTCCATCCTCCTCCGCTCTGCATATCGCCTCACCTCACTCAGTGCTGTACTGAAGCAGCCGTGCAGAAGGTAATGGCAACGTAAAACCAGAGATACAGTGGTATGATTGTGTGCTAGGAACCTCTTGAGTTCGCTGGTCCTAGTGCCGACGGCAGACTTTAGAAATATGTTGTATATTTGTCGTTTGCCGGTGTGCAGGGCAGCGAGACAAGGAGCAACTCCGTACAGATACTCCCCTCGTCTTCTCGGGATCTGAATAATGAGATTTATTTGCTCAGGCTCAACTGCGGGGGACTGGAGGCTGCGTACATACCTTTTTGGTGTTTGCCGATGAAAGGTGACTTCTTTGAGCTACAGCGGCTTGTCGGAGAATGGCTGAGAACCCACCACGTGCAGCGGAGTACATCGCGTCGTTCTTGCTGATTCAGCAAACAGCAAGCCTGCGCAGGTGCACACTCACGCAACGTTGCGAGCATAAGAAAAATCAGTAATCACTGAATACCATCATAAAATCAGGGTAAAATATGTGTTGTTTCGGTGGACGCTAAAAAACCGAGGCAGAGTGTCCAGTCAGAGGTCATCGTCTGTGCTGGGGTCAGTGAACTTCACCACCTCCTGCCAGTTGAACTGGTCTCCGAGGTTAGTGGTCAGGAGATCGGGCTGCTCTATCAACTGCATCATCTGTTCAAACTCCCGGTCGAAGTCGTCAGTCAACATCAGAGTGTGGGTGCTGCCGGTGACGGTATTGTGGGCTTGTGCCCTCGTCACTGCTGGATTCTTGATGGCAGATTCACCAGGGATATCACCAAACGACCCACTCCTCTTGGCCATGTGGGTTTCTTCCAGGGGAACCTTGCGACTGGCAGGTGGGGTGTAGGGACCTCCGTCGCACCCAGCAATCCCAGGCGCCATCTTTTTGAGGAAGGATCCTTTTTCACCGCCATCATAATCTTCCACTGCTGCTGCTGGGATCTGCCGGCAAACAGAGAGAGGAGATTCTGATCCTCTGCTTGACTCCTTGTCTCGTTGTCGCTTCTCAGCCATCCATGCTTTGTAGGCAATGTTGAAGGCCTTCGCCAGAGTGAGAGTGAGCGCAGTGACTTTGTTGGAGTGGGAGAGCTTGAAGAATTCGATCATGAGCTTCTTTTCCAGTTTGGTCTTGTGGATGAAGAAGAACAGCTCGTCCACGGTGTGAGAGGAACCGCAGTAGGACACCAAGTATATGGGGTAGTCGTCTTTCATCCCCGTGCGGCTGTCCTTCACGCTCAGCCCCGAAGACTTGATTGTGATGACCACCTTCCTGAAACGAGACTTTTCCGACTTCTTCCACGCGTTCGACACCATCTCCTGCACCTCGGGGCTGTCGTGTTTGGAGGTGGTTTCGGTGGAGCCGAAATAGTGGGCGTGAAAATTGATGCCCTGTTGAAAGGGATCCTTTTGCTCCGACTCTAGTACCGCGTAACCGCCTCCGCGGCGCCTGTTGAGAGGGCTGTTGCGTACTAAGTCCTTCAGCTTTTTCGCCATTTCCCTGATTGTAACTCTTCACGAATTCGGGTCGAGTGCTTGCAGCTGCGTAATAAAATGAGCCCCTCCCTCGAAGTTTGGTGATAAATGCGCATGCTCATGAATTTCCCGCGAGAGTGACCAGATAATAGTGCTGAGTGCGCGGGAAAACTCGAACAGCTACATAGCTGTTTCAACGCCTGTTTGGTGGTCCCCGGGTCTCGCAGAGACTGCTAGAAATGCCCAGACGACGCGGGAAGAGAAGAAGGCAGTCCCAGAACACCTGCTGCGTCAACTCCTCGAAGAGACAGTTGGTTTCCTGTTGCCAGCGGT